TCTTCATCTTCTACTTCCTAGTTGTAGTAGTTGGAGTAGTAATAGCAGCAGTATCATAATAATCATTGTTATATTTATAATTATAGTAAATATCGTAATTATAATCATTATTATAGTAAGTGTGTGTTATTGTTGTTATTCTTATAGTTATTTGTATGCTTTTTCTTCTGATCATAATTATCGTACAGACAATACGTCATGTGCCAATAATTTATTGCTATGATACATCCAAGATGTCTACCAAAACTGTCAATTCGTTGCTGAAATAATCAAGCCAAAAGAAGAAACATTAGAATTTCTACTTTAAATTGAAATAAATTATATAGGAGAAATAAATAGAGAATACAATCATGATTTTGGAACTAGGGGATTAACATGGACATAATGCACTTGTTTACATGACCACATTATCTCTTATTCATTCTACCTCCAATTTTTCAGACTGTTTTCAAAACAATATCATGTTTGTCGATCATAGTTCTACACCCACAACAAAAAGTGAGTCATTTGACACATTTAAGCATAATTTTCGTGAGTCAGGTGTAAATTGACTCATTAGTAACAACCAATGAGTCTCTATTGACTCATTTATATTTCACCAGTGTGTCAATCATGAGCTGACGCATTTGCAAAATGCTTCGACTGACTCACATGGTCGTAAAAAATGAGTCAAGATCGACATAAGAGCATTTTAGAAGAAAAAAGTGAGTCAACTTGAAAGTGAGGCTGTATGCATTCGCGCGCATGCTTTCGTTACGTCATCCAAAATGCGCATTCTCGAGCCATATTTGAATTCCCGATCGACGACGCGACGTCGCAATCTTATATCTTGGATTCAGAAGAGTTTTGACTGCAGCTAGTGAAAAATTGGTACGCATAATTATTCATATGGTTTTAAACGATGCTTTTTATGACTGGATTCGTGGGCTTATTATACAAATGATGCATGCGTTCATTTTACGATATCCGCACTCGAGTTGATGAGGCTGTGTGTAACTTAACTATCACTATGAACATGACTGACAATGAGAGCGGACAAAATATACAGTTCCTCAGGTAGACAAAGGAACATCCCTTCACTGCTATTATGTAAAAATGTGTAGAACAGGTGTCACATGCATATTCACCTTTTTACATAATAGCTGTGAAGGGATGTTCCTTTGTCTACCTGAGGAACTGTATATTTTGTCCGCTCTCATTGTCAGTCATGTTCATAGAGTATAGATTCTACTGTATCGCACGAAGCCGTGTCGAATGAAAACATGCATGATCTTGCATCATTGTTTTATACAACGAAACTCCTAGATCCTTGTTATTTGATGTAAAACGAATCAATTCAAGATTGTTTCGTGACAGTATGGGTGACAAATAAATCTCAAGTTAAGGCTTAATTTAGTGCGTACAAAGTAGATTTTTCAGATTCGGGTAGCGGGACCACCGATTACATCGCTAAAATGTGATATTTTAGGATATATTTTCCATTGCAAATGTGGACAGTGACTCTGGCATGGTATGGTATGTGTGTGATAGGCCTAGGGAGTAGGGGGGTCTATGTCATGATGCACCCACAACAAAAAGTGAGTCACCCTTACTCAAATTGATGAGTCACTGGTTTGTCCGTACAGTGAAACACTTGAAGGATCGTGTGAGTCACTATGACTCGATACAAATGAGTCTTATTTATCTAAGACTCATTTGTATCGAGTCATAGTGACTCACACGATCCTTCAAGTGTTTCACTGTACGGACAAACCAGTGACTCATCAATTTGAGTAAGGTTGACTTACTTTTTGTTGTGGGTGTATGTAGCTTGATGTCTCATGGTAATTTAAGCAATCTAAGCAACAATTTCTGAATTTCAGCGACAATCGTTCGCCTTAGCTGCTCTTTAAAGGTGAAATTCAAAGAAAATCACAAATATGTCAACTAATGTATCACTAGAAACTGGTAAGCTAACAGATTGCCATCGTACAAGTTTTAGGTCAACTACATATCGGGTGATTTATAAAAATACAAATACAACCACCTCCATAGCAGCTGGAATATACGAGAGATTCGCCGGAAAAATAACGATGTTTCAATGACACAATCGCAAAGCTATTATTTGTCAAATTATAATGAGTTTAATGTATAAATGTAATGGCATGTCAAACCATTCAAAAGGGATATGACCCGATTCTGATAACTAAAATCTTTTGCTTGTAAATACACAGGATAGGGGTTAATTAACAATCAAAGAAACCAGACTTTCAAATTGAAAAACCCCCGGAATGATATTAAGGACGGCATTTGTTCCCTCTTGAAACGCCAAACATACCGCGTAGTGTGCAGCTGAATATACAATGGCGTCTTATTTTGCTTACAAGCGACAGATTCCTTTATTTTTGTATCGCTGCATTTGTCATCAAATTAAACCATGCGCGGGGTTTAGAGTGAGGCAATAGATTATACATTTAGCCTGACGGTAGTGAAGTAAGAGAAAGAACTCAAGAGAAGATGAAAACACAGGCATTGAAAAAGTGTGAGATGTCATGGGACATCGTCTGCTTGTGCAAATCATGTCCATACTGTGATCTCACACATCTCAGCAGCGTTCGGAGAGCTCTTCAGGTGCTATGCCGGGGCTGTATTTAAGCGTTTTGTAATTTATAATAATCATTACTTCGAATGTGTCCACGCATTGAATTTTGATAACCTTGTCGAATCAAAGCTTCAACTTTGCAATAATGAAAATAAAGTTAGTTTTTAAAATTAATGAATATCTACTTTAACTCATAGCCTGCCATAAGGCTCCATGCACGCTATTGTTAAGGTGCCATGTACACGCTAGCAAGCTATTGCTCCTCTGCTTCTTGCATGATTGCACGCATATGTAATAGCAGTTATTGTTCATGCCCATTGGACTTTGCCTAATGTTTTGCACGCGCTATTGATAGTACCATCGCGTTAATCCGATTATCTCGTTATAAACTTGGCACTGGGGGATTTGGAGCTTGGCACTGCAGGGATTAACCCGGTGGCAGGATAAGAGTTAATACTATTATGACGTGCAGTAACAAATGGAAATTTTAGAACTCATGATAAATTCGTTTAACAGTTCATTCCACTTGGTTAAATCTATTGTTCGGGTTATTTAGCAGAACGAGATAGAAATTGACATTCTCATGGCTAATGTTTTTTGCGTTAGTAGTTGTTCATCGTCTCTACAATGCTATTTGAACAATATTTGGTGACAAAAGACGGCATTTCTATGTGGCGTCAAAAGCCGTCAAATAACAAAAAACATGGCACATAAAAAGATCCTCAGTACTGGGTCTGATTTAAAGGAAACTTAATTTGAACCCGGCCCATATTCTGTCTGTCTCTCTCTCTCTGTCGCTCTCGTTTGTCATTGCCTTCATTTTCCCTCGCTTACTTCATTCTTACCACGGAATATGTAATATGTATACACGTGTATGCCTCAATCATTGGGAGTATACTCACTAATATCGCTGAAATGATTCTTCTCCTACCCCTTTTTCTTCATTTATTTCTTCTTAGTAGTTGTAGTAGTAGTAATAGCAGCAGTATCATAATAATCATTGTTATATTTATAATTATAGTAAATATCGTAATTATAAACATTATTATAGTAATTAAGTGTTATTGTTATTATTCTTATAGTTATTTGTATGCTTCTTCTTCTTATCATTATTATCGTATACACAATACGTCATGTGCCAATAATTTATTGCTATGATACATCCAAGATGTCTACCAAAACTGTCAATTCGTTGCTGAAATATTATCAAGCCAAAAGAAGGAACATTAGAATTTCTATTTTAAATTGAAATAAATTATATAGGAGAAATAAATAGAGAATACAATCATGATTTTGGAACTAGGGGATTAACATGGACATAATGCACTTGTTTACATGACCACATTATCTCTTATTCATTCTACGTCCAATTTTTCAGACTGTTTTCGAAACAATTTCATGTGTGTCGATCATAGTTCTATGTAGCTTGATGTCTCCTGGTAATTTAAACAATCTAAGCAACAATTTCTGAATTTTAGCGACAATCGTTCGCCTTTGCGGCTCTTTAATACTATTATGACGTGCAGTAACAAATTGAAATTTCAGAACTCATGATAAATTCGTTTAACAGTTGATTCCACTTAGTTGATTCTATTGTTCGGGTTATTTAACAGACCGAGATATAAATTGACATTATCATGGCTTACGACTTTGCATTAGTGTTCAGCGTCTCTACAGTGCTATTTAAACAATATTTGGAGACAAAAGACGGCATTTCTATGAAGCGTCAAAAGCCGTCAAATAACAAAAAAACATGGCACATAAAAAGATCCTCAGTACACGGTCTAATAATTAAAAGAACACTTAATTTGAACCCGCCCATATTCTCTCTCTCACTCGTTTGTCATTGCCTTCATTTTCCCCCGCTTACTTCATTCTTACCACGGAATATGTAATGTGTATGTGTAGGCCTCATTATGTTAATTAGGGTCAATGGTCAAATTGTCTCAATATATCTTCCATACGTCCATAATTATCAAAGCTAAACAGTAGAAACTTGACATATGGATAGATCATAATGGGAGAAGCAATTTATATAACAATATGACATCGTGAAAATGCATTCTTCATTATGTAAATCATTAGCATACGTATCACCTAATTCGTCAAAGTGACGAATTAAAGTCTAGTTTTTATTATTTTTATTATTATCATAATTATCATTATCATTATCATCATCATGATTATCATGATCAATGTCAGTAGAAGTAGTAGTACTAGTAGTATTAGTAGAAGTAGCAGTAGTAGTAGTAGTAGTAGCAGCAGTAGCAGCAGTAGTAGTAGTAGTAGTAGTAGTAGTAGTAGTAGTAGTAGTAGTAGTAGTAGTAGTAGTAGTAGTAGAGGAGGAGGAGGAGTAATAGTATCATCATTACTATAATTATTATTATCATTATGATTATTATTATTATTTCCTAAACAGCAACTCGAGAAGGCACAGGGGGCTTGGGATGAGACACTGATGGCAGAATGGGAGAAATACATTGACAACTTGAATGTCTCCCTCTCCGACGACTTACGGCAAGTTCGAGAGCAAGAGATGGACCAAGAAACAGAGGTCTGTCGAATTATTTTCCTTCTCCTTCCTCTTCATCTTCTTCTCTTTCCTCTTCTTCAACTTCTTTTCCTTGTTCTCCTTCTTCCTCTTCTTGTTTTGTTCTTCTTCTTCAACTTCTTTTCATCTTCTCCTTATTCTTCTTCTTCTTCTTCTTCTTCTTCTTCTTCTTCTTCTTCCTCATCTTCTTCAACTTCTTTCCCTTCTTCTTCTTCTTCTTACTCTTCTTCTTTTTTTCTTCTTCTTTCTTCTTCTTCTTCTTCTCCTACTTTATCATCATCTTCTTCTACTTCTAACTTCCCTTTTTCCTCTTCTTCTCCTTCTTCTTCTTCCTCTTCTTCTCCTTCTTCTTCTTCTTCTTCTTCTTCTTCTTCTTCTTCTTCTTCTTCTTCCTCATCTTCTTCAACTTGTTTTCCTCTTCTTTTGATTTACATATGCCTTTCAATGAAACAACGCCAGCACCCTGTTTATCAATACACCCTGAGATGCTGATGGATTCATTTAAATCCAATAAAATATTTATCTCTTTATTTCAGGAGAACGAACTAACGAGGATGTTGACTCGCATCAAGGGATTCGGTGTAAGTGAATTCGCCTCCGAACTCAGGAAACTCAAAGGAGATATCAACGTCAAAGATCAGGTCAGAAAATTTAAGGTCGACTTCAAACACGATCGCAAAACTTTCGAGAAATCAACCCAGTCGCAATTTCAATACACAATCGTACATGTCCCAAAGAAATAATTTTTGGATTACGTTATCCGTCATTATCAGGTTCGTTATTTCAACAGGTGATGACAAGGCTACTGAAATTGCCTCGATTGATTTTTCGAAAGTCTTTGCGATCGTCAGTTTATAATCATGTATTCTAAAGACATGGGAGAGGTGACTTCTTATTTTTAATTCTTGGAAAAATATTGAAAAAACTAATGCAACCTTTAAAAAAGTTGCTCCGAATGAAAGGAATGAAAGCAAAAACATTAGAGAATCAGATTAACATTAGGAACAAAGTTATTAAAGTTCAAATTTGAAATCAGTAGACCTATACATTACTAAAACACGAACAAGCCAGATCGGTAATGTAATCGGTAATGATATAGTAGTGGATCAATAATTCGTCCAATCTAAAACACTAAATAACCTAATTATCATATTTTTTTAATGTGTAACTAAGGCTCGATATTTTGGTTTTGGGAGGACCTCTAATAATGTCGGCATAATTTCACAAGTTTCTTTCGTTTATTTCGCAATCATTATTTTACTGTGATAAGAATACTTTGAATACTTTAAAAAATAATTATTTGATTACAATGCTTTAATGAGAATACTTTTAAATGGATTATTTTACTTTGATGGGAAGAAATCTCGGTTCATCACTGTTCTTTTATATTAATGACATTTATGACGCAAGTAGAGGTCTCGTGGTCGAGTGGATAAGTCATGTGACTGTGGATCACATGGTTAGCAGTTCGAGACCCACCGGCCGCGGCACTATATTATGTCCTTTGGCAAGACATTAATCTATATTTGCCTCTCTCCACCCAGGCGATGTAAATGGGTACCTGGAAGGAATCTATTCCCTCAACGCTTACGCCTTAGGCCAGCTGGGCTATAGCTACATGTAGGGTAATGATACCAATCTGTAGGCGCTTTGAGCATCCCTTGAGATGGATACGTGTGCAATATAAATGTAGCTATTACGGTCAAACCTGCTTTAGTGATCACCTGCCTGCAAAGACCACCTGTCTATAAAGACCACATTTTTTGTTTCCCTTGAAAATGGTTTCTCATTGAAACATGTACTAAAGGAACCTGTCTACAAGGACCACCTGTCTACAAAGACCACTTTTTGTGTTTCCCTTGAGTGGTCGCTATAGACAGGTTGTATTATTATTATTATCGTAATTATCATTTTTATTATTTTCTTTTGGATAAACAGAACGATACGCTTGTTGCTCGTATCATGGACCTCGAGGCTCAACTGCGCAAGGAGCGGGAAGCCCATGTCGACGCTCTAAGTCGTCGCGATCTGGAGATCGAGGAGGTTAAAGAAACCGTGGCCGTGCGCGTCCAGAAGTACAACGACCTGCTCCAGATCAAACTCCGTCTCGACAAGGAGATCGCGACCTTTCGCGCCTTGCTCGAAGGAGGGGAAGCGAGGTGTGTACTAGTTGGAAAATAATCCTTGGGGTTTTATTGCAAAAGTTCTAGTTGTATATTCATCAACGACTCCTTTAAAGGGCGTTGCAGGGATTTACACTGTTAAAATTTCGAAACTTGTGAAGGGCAAACATTTTATTTAAAGAAAACAGACAGATGGGTTAACCAACAGCCAAGCCTATGATAGGGAAGTTACTGCCCCATACTGCTGCAGCTGACCTGAGATGGCATTATGCGGCAGTGTTTCTACTACAATATGGCTTTAACACATAGAAACGTCCAACTTTTTTTGCAATTTAGAATACATGTAATAACTGCCAAAGTGATGGAGGTGCTTTATAAATACTTTTTTGTTTGTCCTCTTAAAAAGAATACTTCCATCTGATTATTGTAGGATATATCGGCGATGCATGCATGAATAATGATTACATAACTTTCATGAACATATATCAAGCATTCGTCTTGATAAGTGTTACAGTTTTGTAACAAATACCTTTATCTGCCCATGCGCAGATAGTACTTCTGAAGTGGCTTACATACTCCGCTGTCGAGAGCATCAATTTCCACGTCGCCCAAGCGTTAAACAATTGATTTACCTACTCATTATAAATTAAGAAAGAGAGCCGAGTTGAGGGAATCTTCAAATACTCCCGTGTCTAGACTCTAGAGAATCATTGGTTGTTAAAAGTGCCTTTCCCATATTCCCCAAACGTTAAACGATTCTTAATATTTACCTACTCATTTCCGGTTAAGAAAGAGATATTGTTGTTAGATTATGTTTTAAGGCAATTCAGTAAAAACTGACTATTTATGCCTTCAAATACTGCCGTGTCTAGAGAGTCATTTGTTGTTGAAGGTGCCTTTCCCATACTCCCCAAGCTTTAAACATTTCCCTTATTTCAGGTTAAGAAAGAGAGCCGTGTTGAGCGAGTCTTCAAATACTCTTGTGTCTAGAGAGTCATTTGTTGTTAAAAGTGTCGTTCCCATATTTCCCTAGCGTTAAATGGATCCGGTAACTTTGTCTCAGATTCTGAAACAAAATCCTGGATTTAGCCCATGCTGCAATGATAAGTATACACCTTTAGGTCAGTTAGGAACCCCCTGACTTTTACAAGCTGATCGCCTGTCTGATTATTAAGATATTTATGATTGATGCACGTAGGGCCGAGCATCTCGGATTTAACAGTGTTAAACGATGCCTTTAAACATTTGATTATACACCCTATTTCAGGTTAAGAAAGAGAGCCATGTTGAGTGATTCCTTTCAAGAAGACACACCTCCTCGTGAGCAGCCACAACCCAAGCGACGTCGTATCAATGATGAAGTTCAGGTTACGAGATCATCGACCACCAGCGGACTCGTGTCCATCGTCGAGACCGACAACGATGGCAACTTTATCAAACTGCACAACCATACCGACTCGGTGAGTATATGTGATTGTATTCATAATTATTATTTTCATGATTTTCTTTCCTTCTGTTCCCTTCTAATGTTATAAAATGACATTTTAACTTAAGCATGGAGATAGCCTTCGACAGAATTTTAGCCTTTGCTTGCCCCTCCACACTATATTTAATTCACCCCCCCCCCCCTTTCCCCGCTTATGTACATGAGGGCCTACATTTTATATCTATCTATTTATTATGTGCATGTTTTTATAGCTTGTATTTCTATACGTTTTATTGTTGTTATATTTTCATTAGTGCATGCCCCCCCCCCCCCCACTCAGTGTTATTTAGGGTACGCATATGCTTGTTCCCTCCTTTTGAAAACACCCCCTAAGTCCGGTGTGTAAAACGGACGTTTGTGTACTACGAGCCGGACTTTGGTGCGTGAAAAGTACCCCTTTACTGGACATTTTGGTAACACGCATGGTATCCCTCCGATCACGGAGTGGGGGGGGGGGGGGGTGGGCGGGGTGCATGAAACTAAACTTGAACTATGTTGTTTTTGAGAACGACCTGTAGATGTCTGATATATTTGCATTTAATTGTGGATAATGAATCAAGGATTAAATAAGAATAACACAAGGGTAAAACAAGCTAGGGCATTTAAATGGAGCAGTTAAAATGAAGTCAGATTGCATGCATTCCTCAGAAGCAAAAGATGTTCTTGGACGTATACCTGACATGGTTGGACCTAATAATTTTAATGTGCATTTTTCTTCTTCTCCTCCTCTTGTTTCTTTTATTCTATATTTCGTCACCATCATCGTATTCCTCACCTTATTCTCATGATCATCGTGGCTTATCATCATCATCATCATCATCATCATTATCGCCACTATTACCCAATCATCGAAATTTTCACGATCGTCATCACTATTATCATTCGTATTATCAACGTATATTATCATCATCATACCAAAACACCGACATCAATATGTCTATCATCATCATCAACACCACCACCACTACTACCATCATCCTCCTCATCATTATAATCATCACCACATCACCACCATCATCAACATCATCATCCTCATCACCCCCAACACCCAAATAATCGTCATCCTCATCTCCATCATCCTCATGCTCACCATCATCATCATCATCATCATCATCATCATCATCATCATCATCATCATCATCATCATCTTCATCATGACACCACCACCAATACCACCACCACCCAAACAGGACCAATCCATTGGAGGATGGGAACTCCAGCGTATTGTTGACGGAGGGCTCGTCGCGACCTTCACGTTCAACAACAGGTTCTCGATGAACCCGGGTCATGAGGTCACGATCTGGGCCTCGGGCAGTGGGAACAAGGTTCAAAACCCTCCCTCAGATGTGGTATCTAAGGACACGGAGAACTGGACGAAAGGGGACAGCACGGAGACGCTCCTCGTACGCCCTGATGGAGAGGTATGTGATGTGATCCAAGATTTGGTCTCAGATACTTTTTAACATTCGGACTTAAAGGGGGTGTAGCATTGCAAATACTGGTAAACGCCATCTACGACTTATTTTGGACAACTGCGCCTAAACGAATTGACTTGATTAACGGTCAGCGCGCGCTAGCGTTCGCGAAACGGACCGAAGTTCTTCTCACGCTTCGGTTTCGAGTATGTTGCACGCGCGTGAATATTTCGGTCGCGTCGTTCGTAGTCGTATTATACCCGATTGTCCTTTTTTTAAGTCACGAATGCATAATGCTGATTTTAAATGATGATTATTTTCATGACCCAGTTTCATAAATTGGTATTTAGGCGAGGAGTCAGTCGAAGGAACAAAAACAATATAATGTTACAAATGTACCGCCTAATAATCTTGCTTCCCGCGCAGCCTTTCGGTGTGACTCGTTTTTCAACATTTATCTAGTTAAATAGCACCTTTGAAACAGTACCATTATTTTGCTGAGATAAACAGTGCCTAACCCAATGTAATCGCGAGGCCAGCATTTAAGTGTATCTTTAAAGATAAAGTTGAGTTCTGGTCATGCAATTGCAATGTGAAAGAAACGTTGTGGAGTCGATCAGAAAAGGTTGATCATCTAGCATATAAGTATTGGTGTGTACTGCAAGGTTCTAGAATCATCAAAATGATAAGGAATTTGGCCCAGTCTTGATAAATTTACAAGCACTGTACACAGAAAGATGTATATGGGGCTACACGAACATGTGGCATAGCAATCCGTCCCGATTTTTATGTTGTTACATGCGATAACTAGAATATGAAAGCATTTGAAGAGCCATTCTTTTCAGGGAACATTTTCAATCTGATATTCGTCCACACTTGCATAATAACAATGATAACGCTCACAATTGTGTGTGCACCTTTTCCCAGAACTCAACATTCTCTTTAAGTCGAAAACTGTAAGGGGTCTTACACAATGAAGCATGGCTTAATCACTTCATTTATTTTCCCATCATTAGGTGATGGCTAAATGCACTGAACTACGAGAGCACGTCCATGGCGAGTTTATCGAGGTAAGATATTAGCTGATTTTTTTTTTGTTCAATTGTGAGAAGCAGCTACATGTATTTTATTTTTATAAAAAAATAGAATAAAGAGAATAGTCTGGTAGTTGTTGCTGTAGTTGGTAATTCATTTTGCATTTGACATCTCAAAGCCAACATAAGAAGCTCCATTTTCTGTGAATTTAGTAAAGATTTTTAGCCTTTTTAGTACCATTGAGCCAATAATTCGTCCCTATTTTCACGAAGTGGCGGTAGTGAATGAAAATCGCATACAATTTGCGTGCGGATTTTCCTCACTACAGTCGCTTCGTGAAAACAGGAACGAATTGTTTGAATATGTAATATCTATGGAACCTAAAAAAGAAAAACATATACATGTACATGAAGTATTCAGTCATTCTCTCTCTCTCTCTCTCTCTCTCTTTCTCCTTTTCTCTATCTTTCACCCTCTCTCTTTCTCTATCTTTCATTCTCTTTCTCTCTCTCTTTTTCTTTCCCCATCTTTCTCTCTCTCCCTCTTTCTCTTTCTCTCTCTCTCTCCCTCCCTCCTTCTCTCTCTCTCTCTCTCTCTCTCTCTATCTCCCTCCCTCTCTCTCTCTCTCCCTCTCTCTCTTCTTGTTTTCATTCTCTCTTCTACAGACGGAAGCCAGGGAGTTCCGACCATGTTTGGTAATGTGATCAGGTATCCCGGTGACGGCTGGAAGTTTCTAATCAGTATCAGTTTGTCAGTCATTCACTGAAATATATCGATTAACCATTGTCAGATCCAGGGTTGTTGTTGCTTTGTTTTGTTTTTAGCCGATTTTGAGTACTCGCAGTGAAATCTTAGGCTAAGTAAAAAAAAAAACATACATGTTTAGCGTCCCCCGCCCGCTTCCTTTTTGGGGGCCGCCTCCTTTTTTTTTCTTTTTTTTAAATAATTTTTTTAAATAATTTGATATTCTTCAATGAATTAAAACATGAAAAACATACTGCTAAAATGATCTATTTCTGTTGTTTTTTTTTAATTATTTTTTTTAAATACCGGCGGCTATCTTGAAAAATAGCCCGACTGTCCGGAAAAATGTACCGAGCGGCCATTTTGAAAGAAAAAAAGGGAAAAAAAAGGGCCTCCTCCTTCCTATTTTTCAAAAAACAGGACGCTAAACGTGTTTTTTTTTTTACCATAATTGCGAGAAATTTATTGTTTTTTTCTCAATGATTGTGACCTGTTAAATTTGTAATGATTATTATGCATTTATTGGAAAATCAAATACAAAATATTCAAACAACAATAAAAGTATATACTATCATAGATTTACATTTTAAAAATGTGTCAACTGAAATACAAAAGAGTACATAGATATCATGAAAAGCTTGAAAGTATGAAGGTAAATCAAAGAATCTAGATGAATATAGAGGCCAAAAGTTTACTATCATAAGCATGAATGCTCGAGTCGATTCAATAGCACTCAAGGATAGTATTTTGACTAAAATACTGTGGGTGAACTTTCGAATGGAATATATAGGACACGAAAGAGCAAGAGTCAACTATTTCAGGGTTCATGCTCCCTTTTGTATAACCCTGAAATGAATGTTCATGATTTTTTTATACATTTTGGAAAATCCTATTTTGTAGAACGCTAGAGGGCGTCACAAAATGAGACGAACCAGAGCCATTGTGAAAGGTCACTGACAGGTGAATATCTCATCAAACCAGCTTTCAATTAACATAAGAAAAACGGGATCATGGGGGACCAATGGTCACGTACTGATTAGGCATTGTTTGCTATTTAGAGGGCGCAGAGTAGCTATGAATAGTGCAGTGAGGCATTAATAACCGCGTTTTGAAATTAATTTGATATTGTGTTTTGTATATCTTGTTACTAGCAGTTCATTCAATGTTTAACACTTTTAGAATGATTAGTTGCTTTGGACTAGAGAAATTGTAGGTTCGTATTTTGGGCTCGACCCGGGGGCTCGACCCGGGGGCTCGACCTAGGGGCTCGACCCGGGGGATTCCTTGTAATGCTGGAGCGCCGTAAGAGCAGTATAAAGCAAGGGTAACAAATTGTGGAGGGCCAGGAGTGTCGAGTCTGACAGACAAGAGCGCTGTACAAGAACCCACTTTTAGTTGTATTATTATTTGTGTTAATAGTGTTTATAGTCATGAGGTGGACATTAAATTTTAGTTTAGTTATGAGATTTCCATTTCAGTCACACGGACATTGATTAACGATAAAGTGGTGTGGAATCGATAAGAAAAATTGATCACGTAGCATATAAGTATTGGTGTGTACTGCAAGGTTCTGGAATCATCAACATGATAAGAAGTTGGCCAAGACTTGGTAAAGTAGCAAGCACTGTACACAGAAAGATGTGTAGGGGACTACACAAACATGTGGCATAAAAACCGGGCCTCATTTTTAAACTGTTACTTGTCATATTTAGAATATGGAGGCGTTTGAAGAGCCATGCTTTTCAGGGAACATGTTTTCTCTGATGTTCTTCCACACTTGCATAATAACAATGACAACGCTCACAACTTATTTTTCACCTCCCCCCTGAACTCAACCTTCTCTTTAAATCAATTGCAAAGATAATTAAAAAGTGTGCATTTTTACCCAAACATTTCGGAATTTTTTAGTTTAAAGCTACCATGTTTGTTTCCAATCTTTATTTAGGGTTGTCTGGTCTTTGTATTTTTTATACATATATATTTTGTTATGTGTAATTAAAACTTTTAATCTTTGAATGTTAGCTTTGTCTTTGCTATGTTGTTATTGTTTGGTTTCGCATATTTATGTGACGTAATGCTTGAATATATTGCACTCTCCTATTACTTTCGAGCACTTTCGACTTTTTTTTATGAGGGTAAATATCTTGACAAGACCGGCTTTGTCTCTTATGGTACCTTGATTCTATGTATAATGATTTGAATATGTGCTGTATTTAGGATTTGTATGTGTATTTGCTTTTATTGGAATTAAATGAACTTGAAATTGAACTTTATTCTTGATTTGCAAACTGAATTTTGGGAGTCATTATTCTTTTAGTGTTTCATTTTAGTGTTCTTTCATATTTTCGTTCAGTTTCTTTGTAGTATGAAATATTTTTTAAATATCAAGAGATTTTCCTACAACACAATCAAATGACCGTTGAATCACAGTTGAAGTTGAATATTTTTTTGATTGTTAAGACAGATGTATATTTTATTCAAAATCTTTTAATAATGAAATATGTTTTTTAGACAAGAAGATACATTCAGTAAAGCGTAATTATTGAGTAAGCTTACAATGATAATTGACTATCAGGAAAGTAAAAGTATCAGCAAAGTAGTAGTAGTACTAGTAGTAGTAGTAGTAGTAGCAGTAGTAGCAGTAGTAGAAGTAGGCATATTATTGGTAGTGGTTGTAGTGGTTATAGTAGTAGCAATACGTCGCCGCCCCCACAAATACAACAACAAAAAATGCAATAAATTATCAATAATTCATTGCATTTTGCCCCGACCCCTAACATAAACAAATCCTTTATGTGGGCATGCCTTGAACCATAATGCATGGCCCTACAGAGGAATTGTTCATATTGGGGACTGTGGGGGGGGGTGCAATGAATTATTGATAATTTATTGCAATTTCTTTGTTTTTTTTGTTTTTTTGCCTTGTGGGGGCGGCGACGTGCCGTAGCCCCCGCTGTGTACAGTCATCATTCAGTGGCTAAGCAATGGGTTCGTTACTTGTGAGGCCCCAGAATAAAAACCGCGTCGATCAGCTATAATATTATATATTATATAATATATTGCCCTTTTGTGAGTCATTAATCCTTATTACTGTCAGTTATGACTTAATGACGTAGGTCCCCTAGTGTATTAGCATAGTAGCACACACATACTTTAGCAGTCACGCAAGACAAACACTCGTAAGTTATTATTCAATACAATCTAAGAATGTATACTATTATTTAGATCTATTATGAATAAATCAATGTCAAAATCATTCCATAAATTGGGGTAAAAATAATTATTCCAGCTTTATGACCAACGGTGTAGTATTTATTAGTAGTTGTAATAGAAGTAGAATTGGTGGTTGTAGTAATAGTAGTAGTAATAATAGTAGTATTAGTGGTTGTAGTAGGGGTAGTAGCAGTAGTAGTTGTAGAAGTAGTAGTAGTAGTAGTAGCAGCAGCAGTAGTAACAACAGTAATAGTAGTAGTAGCACTGTAGCAGTAGAAGCAGCATCAGTAGTAACAGGAGTAATAGTATAGTCGTATTGGTTGTAGTAATAATTGCATTAAAAGTACATGTAGTAGATGTAGTGGTTGTACTGGACGTAGAAGTAGTAGTAGTAGAATAAGTAATAGTAGTGGTAGTAGAAGTAGTTGTAGTAGTGGTAGTAGTAGTAGTAGTAGTAGTAATACTAGTAGTAGTAGTAGTAGTAGTAGTAATACTAATAGTATTATTATAAGTAGTAGAAGTAGTAACAGTATAATAAGTTGTAATAGAAGTAGTAGTAGTAGTAGTAGTAGTAGTAGAATTATTATCATTATTATTATTATTATTATTAATAGTAGTAGTAGAAGTACTAGTAGAAGTAGCAGCAGAAAAGCTAGTAGCTTTTGAAGCACTATAAGTAGTAACAGTTGTTGTTGTAGATGCCCGTGTTGTTGATGTAGAGTCGTTAAATTCAAAGAAATTTACGTGGTATCATCGTGATCTAAATCAATTTAAAGTAATAAGCACAAAACACTATGACGTGAGAACGCAATTTATACCTTTTCTCCCTGTGTATATATCCACAATTTCATCATGTGTTTAGCGGGCAACCCCTTCGCTACTAGGTATTGATCCTTAAACCTTTCACATTGGGTGTCATTGATGAGTCTCCCGTTTGACACGGTGTACTTTCCCCACGCGAAGTGTCTCGTCCGGGTGAGCGGAATCCCGAGCTCACGCATGCAGAACGACACGAAAATATCCTCCCACGGAAAGAGCGGGAGACGTTGTGCAGTGTCAAAAATCCTGGCCGCAACGTCTAACGAGAGAAAATACCCGGCTCCTCCCATGTAGTAGGAGTCGTAGTGAGTGAGGTTGTAGACGTGGGTCGGGGTATAGTATTTGGATTCTTTAGTGCGCACCACACGGACGCGTTTACCTTTCATACCGGCGGTGAAATCCTCAGGTGGCGACAGCAGCAGGAAGGTCGTGACCTTTTCAACATTTAGTATGATATCGTCGTCAGCTTTCATCATAAAGACAGCATTTCCGCAATAATTCGTCACCCATTTTAAAACCATGACCGTCTTTCGCGTAAGATTTAGATACGAATCGACGAAGTTCTCTTGCACTATATCCCCGTAGAGGGCGGACTCGGCTTCGATTTTAGCTTGCAAGGCGATATCTTTTGCCGCGCCGATCATGAATACGACACGAACCATTGAAGCGCCCTCTTCCGATGCTGGCCATGCCGATTCATTCCCGTAACTATTCCTAATGACGTCACGTCTCTCTCTATTCTGTGGAGCGGTGAGAACGCATATGACAAGAAGAATCTCCTTAGGAAGGTGTGGAGAAACGTTACATTTCTGATGAGGGTTGATAAGATATTCATAATCATGAATATCTACTTCAGCTATCCAATTATCTGTTGTAAACTCAGACTCAGAGTCAGAGCTCCTCTCGGTATCATACTCCATGACGTCATACTGAACCGCATTTCGTAAGGTCGAACTCTTGTAGCTGTCAGCTAATTTACTCGTGGGCATTGTTGCATTCTCCGTGGAGGCCATGCGCACAAACCGTAAATCTTTCATGAGCGCAGGTTCTGACGTATTAGCCGCACGCAGCGCATGCGCATGGAGTTGAACTCTCTCCTCGTACTGCTTCATGAGTTGCTTCAGGCGAAACACGTGTTCGTCCACAGTCTCAGGATCCCCCTGCGTAAAGCCTTCACGGGTCTGCCATAGAAGTATCGGCACCAAAGTGGAGATAACAATTACCCGAACCAACTGACGCAGAGTTCTCCTGACATTGGTCATTTTACTACCGCAGAGGGAGTTAAATCCGTTTTCATCAAGAGCCGTTTGCCTCAGTCTGTCATGTGGGGACAAAAAAAGAGTTAGTTTCAGTATTACGATGTATCCATTACCTATGAGTTGAGAATAATTTAATTGTTTTTATATCTATTCGTCTGACCTAAATGATCACAATCTTTTTCAACGGATTTTTGTTAATACCAGTTTGTAAATTATTAAACTAGTCCTTCGATTATTTGTGTAGGGGTGGGGGGTCCAATACGTTAACAATTTTGTTTGTGGAAATATACTTGATTACACGGCTATTGAAAGAGACGTCTATTACTATAAATTTTTGATCCACAATTCTCACATGTTAAAGCGAATTAATGATTTTCCAAACAAAAGGCTAGCAGATAATATAGGCCCTACTGTCATTGATTGGGGGAGTTTGGCCAACCCGGTTCAAGTTGGACACAATATGGCGACTGCTGCTTTGTTGGGCAAGGGCAAAACAAAATAATATACGCCATGTTGTGACCCAGTGAAACCAAGGGCGCGTTCATGCTTGATTTTGACGGCCAGAATCAGGCATCTGTTACGCGTTTAGTTTAAAACACGATTGCGTTCATGCTCACTTTTGTAGAATCACCGAAAAACGGCGATCACGATCGCCGATCGTAAACTCACAAAAAGATGCGTTTACAATTTGTAAACGCGTTTAAATGGGGTCAACGCACTGACTTCTAGTGGGTCTACGTAGCATGCGCACACATGTTTGCGAATCCAGCTGAAGGCCACCCAAGGAGAATTGCCTGGAGAAGTGAGCATGAACAGTGCACCGTGGAACTGCGATTACGATGAGCGTTTACGATGAGCGTTACAAATCGCTCATTCTGCCTTCAAAATCAAGCATGAACGCGCCCCAAGTTGGCCCAACTCTGTGTATAGATGGCTCTGCTCGTGGATATAGGGCAGCGCCCCCTCCACGTTCGTGTATAGTACGTCAAGGGTAAACCTATTTTGTCATGCTTTGATTAATCAAGAAGCCAAAAAGAATCTAAACGAGTGAATGTGGGCTTCTGCAACATTTACATTGTGACTACCAGGGTCAGTTGACGGTACAGAGAGACATCCTGAAAGATATGTATATACACTGTTGGTCATAATGGTGGAATCATTTTTTTTAACCCAATTTATGGAATGATTTTGACAATGATTTGAATAGGCAATTTCTAATTGATCTGGATAATAGGATATACATTCTCATGTTTTATTGAATAATAATTTGTGAGTATTTTTGACGTGACTGCTAAATAATGTGTGTGCTACTATGCTAATCAACTAGGGGACCTACGTCATAATTCATAACTGACAGTAATGAGGATTAATTCCTCATAAAAGGGCACTAATATAGCATATCGACACGGTTTTGATCCTGGGGGCTCACAGTAACGAGGCCATTGATAAGCCACTAAATCATGACTTTACGCAGCGGGGGCTAGGGTACGTCGCCGCCCCCCAAATAAAAAAAACAAAGAAAATGCAATAAATAGTCAATACTTCATTGTATTTTGACCCGATCCCCAACATATAAAATCCTCTATGTGGGCATGCCTTGATCCATAATGCATGGCCCTAAAGAGGGTTTTTTCCCGTTGGGGACCGGGGGGGGGGGATGCAATGAATTATTGATAATTAGACGAACATATGAAGTGAAAAAAATTACCGGTAGTCATTAAGTAAACATGGTCATTAGCAGGACATTTGTGTGTCCTGTTAACGATTGAACAATATAAGTACTGCCCTCTACGTACATTTACAGGCAGAGGAAACACAAGGGACTCCCAAGAAACAATACGTTTAATCAGTAGTCATTTGTTTAATTAGTAATATTGTTTTGAATTAAGGGCTAGGGTTAGGGTGATATATACCAGTTTTTTAAGATGTCCGGTTAATGTACCATTCGGGGTTGTATATAGATGCCCTGTTAATACAACATGTAGGGTTATATATACATATATATATATATATATATATATATATATATATATATATATATACATAATATAACGTAACAATATTATGTGCTTTCGGGCGAGAGTACATTATCTTCAACAAAAAAATATATAAATATAGATAGAGAGATAGATATATCAACATGCATCGGACAGGTGATGACCCCACCCCCCCCCCCCCCCATAAGTTGGACAAAATGAAAAGGTGGACCCAACCCCCTGTGCCCCTTTCGGATCCTCCACAGATTAATTAATAATTTTCAGAATAGTTTAAACGTGTACCTACCTGTCAGAGTCTAATAATCCAATTCACCAAGCCGAACAAACTTGAAGAGTCGGGATGTGTCAGCAGCACTTTCAGCAACTTCAGATATTTAAAGTAAATATCGGTGTACATGTAGTTCCGATTCTCCGGCGTATTATTGTTTATGGTTAACTACACGTCTCGTTTAAGTCTCATCAGGTTCTCATAGATCCGATCCGGCTAATAGGTTATGGTCTAGAGCATGTGCCTTTTAAGTCTCCACTTGCGTTTCGAGGATTTTGAAAATGATAATTTGTCATTAAAATTCTACGACCAATCACTAGATCATTTTCAAAACAATATAGAGCGACCAACATCCTATGAACCGTATTGAATGGATCAATAAACATAAATAACCGCCCATCATCATATGGTAGGGGAAATATGAATTTGGTTTTTCTTCAATTTTGACAAATTAATATTAATTGACAGGTTTAATTGGCAAGGTAAAGTCTTGATGATACACCTTTGTTTATCGTATTTTCATAATTAATGACGAGGTGAGATTTAGCATTCACGGAGTTGCACGTGGCCGTGGAGTTCCCGGTTCAAAATCCTACCCGGTTTGCCAACATTGTTCATGTATTATTGGCAAGTTAAAACGTAAAAGCCCGACACGACGCAATTCTAAATACATACAGAGCGAATTCTGTCTGTGTAGACGCGTTATGAAATCCCAATTTAGGGGAGTGTTTCACGAAGACTAAGATCGACTTTAAGTCAGACTTAACTATGACAGGCCATTCATGCCACTAGTTGCTCTCACCATTTGTCTTTCAATATATTTTTTCCTACAAACAATAATAAACTATAAAAATTGTAAATTCTGTAGATTTGTGACCACGATTGGTACGTCCCTTGAAAAACCAATGTAGGTAAAGGATGAGAGAAAATAGTGGCATGAACGGTCTGCCATAGTTAAGTCCAACTTAAAATCGATCTGTTAGTCTTGTGAAACACCCCCCTGATGTCAAAGTCAGTCAATATTATTTCGAGCGGACAAGGTCAAGGTTCAACGTTCACTTAATGACAAATAATTATCGAACACGCTGTCTGAATTCTTGCCAGGAAGAGACGTCAATACTGCGAGAGACGGAGAGAGAGAGAGGGGGGAGGGTGTGTGAAGAATATAGAGAGAAAGAGAGAGAGAGAGAGAGAGAGAGAGAAAGGGAGAGAAGAAAAAGAAAGAGAAAGAGAGAGAGAGAGAAGAAGAGAGAGAGAGAGAGAAAGAGGGAAAGAGAGAGATTAAAAAAAAGAGACAGAAAGAGACAGAGAGACAAGGAGAGAGAAAGAGAAAGAGAGAGAGAGAGAGAAGAAGAAGAGAGAGAGGGGGAAAAAAGAGAGAGAAAGAAAGAAAGAGAGAGAGAGAGAGAGAAGAAGGGAGAGAGAGAGAGCATAGATCATGACTGTAAAGTATGCATACTAATCAAGTACAATCACCATTATTTCATAGACACCGTCAACTGTCAAATCTCTTGCCAATACGTTAACATATTTTTACTGCATGTTAATCCGGAGCGTGTCTACGATATGTCGAAATGTTGTGGGCCTGTTTGACGGTATTTTCACGTAAAAAACTGTAGTATGATAATGAAGTAAAAACACAAAGTCATGATCATAATGGACCGGAACTTGCCAAGATCTCAAACATTAGCGAGTGCAATATATTTCCGGAAAATAATAAAGATATATATAATTTATGCATAAATTAGCGATCGGGGGGGTCAGAAGAATGAACTTGAACAATTATCTTTCATTAATCGACAGAAGAAAGAGATTTATTCAAGGTGTGAGTGAAGTTTCATATGATATTCTCTCAAATCTTGCTACGAGGTCAGAATATTACTGCATGTTTTCCCGCCAGAACATATAGATTATGATAGGCTTATTATCATGATTTTGATGAATGTGTAGGCTATACAAACGTGTACTTTGCAACAAGAAAATCGCAATCTGGCCATGAAAATTCCGAACTTCAAATAAAAGACGGGGGAAGGGGATATAATCAAGGATTACGTGTTGATGGTTTACGAATCGGCGAAGTTAAATATTACTTCCGCTTCTGAATGAGTAGAGGCTTTAAATCTGATAATAAATGAGATTATGATTGAAAGCGATAGATTAACCTTGCGATGACACAGACAATAGCGGGGAATCATTTGATAATATGATGGTTTATTGCCGTTCGGTCTACAACCAGTTCGTCCACTATCCAATTGGTCTATTCCCATACGTTGCACACCCGGCTGCAAATGATCAGGAGCAGTACTCCCGGAGGAACTGTCTCCGTTTCACCGGGCTGGAGGAGTCTGTGAAGGAAAACACCGATGAAGTCGTCCTGCACCTCGCCAACACCATTCTTCAAGTCCCCATCACAAAAGAGGACATTGAGCGGAGCCATAGGGTTGGCATGAAAGATCGGGAGCCAACGTCAGGGGGGCGTCGTCCTCATCCCCGACCCATCATTGTCACTTTTTCATCATACGGGAAGCGCCAGCAAATAATACAAAACCGACGGAAGCTGGCAGGCCAGAGGAAGTCCATTCAAGAGGACCTCACCAGAACCAATGCTGACCTTCTCAAGCAGGCAAAAACTTGCAGCAAAGTGAAGGTCGCTTGGACTACTGATGGCAGAGTTATTGCCCTCACCGAAACCGGTGATAAAAAGGGCATTAACTCTGCTGAAGACCTTAGAAGGCTGA